GATCTAAATTTATTTTATTGTGGTTTCTTATATCATCAGTAACAAAGACACAAATTTCAATGTACACTTACACAATTCTGTGGTAAAGTAGAAACTAAAGTATAAAAACAATGTAAATATTAACACTGAAATAGTCCAAACTATTAAGTGTTGCAATTGATTGTTTATCAATACAGCATAACAGTGTTATTTTGAATACCATATATTTACACAAATGCACATATAAATTAAACATACTGTTGAAGTAGTTTAAGTTACACTACAATGTTTATTTGCATTTCTTTTACATTTAATGTTACAAATCATAGGATAATTAGTTGATGAATGTGCTATAACCAATTGAAAGTTCATAAAGAAGCACTCTAAAAACTTTGGATGTTGTACAAACATTTTCATACTCCTAACTATTTGAAACTACTGGTGTTTAAATAAAATTTACTTAAACTTTCTTCTTACTTCTTCACCGGCAACTTTTGCACATTGTTGTTTACCAAGGTAATATATTTGTATTTTTATACATATAATGCATAATTAAACTCTATCACACTATAAACATAATGTAGAATAAAACACATGTCCACCAAAACCAGACAATACTCTATTCAAAACAACAATCTGTATTCTAAGGCTAACTGTACTTAGAAAGGTTCGTCATTCGTTGACTTTAGAAGACCCTCAAAACAACTATCTGTTGCCTAATATAGTTCTACTACACTTGCTGATGTCTTTCACAAACCATCTCAATTTGTACCAGCCCTGTAACCTATGGATCTTCTTTATAAGGAGAAAGGGGTATGCAATTTTGTGCATTTTCTTGTATAAGCCAATGTATTTGAAGGTCATATCTGTGTATCACACACATCAATACATGCACTAGGAAGTGCCATGTGATATTTTGTAACATTTAAGCTTGATGTTTCATCCTAGGCTGTACAATTTCCTGCTACATATATTTCATAACACATGAACAATATTTTATAAGCAACTGTGAACTGTCAAACAGTAGGGCTACGATTGAAATTACAGGATAACCTAACAGCAGCAAAAAAGATAAGAAGGAAGTTTCAAGTGATTCTGGCTTAATTTAAATGTCCAAAGATACTTTAGTGAGGGTGAAGATGATGACATTAATGTTTCATGTTAATGCTGTATGGATGTGTTTACAGTTAGAAATCCAATAAATGATGTTTTACATTTTAACTGAAAAATATAATTTTCTGTTTCTACTGTAAAAGGTTTCCAACATGATTCATTGGAACTTTTCAATGTTTTCCTGTAATTTTTTTTTTAGCCGATGGATTTCTGGTGTTGAACAAAAAAGCTATGAAAAGTTTTCAATCTTAATACTAAAGTTCAAGACTTCATTGAAAAATTCTATGACACCTGCTTATTTTTTTTTCAATTTTTGAAAGTCAGTAATTAACTGTTATTCAATATATTCCCTATCTCCACTTAAAGTTTTTTCTTGTGCAAAAATGTTTCTAATGAGTTTACATGTCTCATATACCAAGTACGACATCAATTTTGTATTTGTCATTACTAGGATGGAGAAACCATGGCTACAGATTTTTTAGTGACATATTGAATAAATGTTCAGTTAAAATAGCAAAGTTCCGTGGTTGTAATCTCAATATCTGACAGTTTTTGTAAGTACATTCTCACCAAGTTTGCTTGTTCTTATACTACCATGTCATTAATAAAGAAATAGCCAAAAAAGGCACCTTCCAGTTGTTGTTTATAGAAACAACCATAAACACCAGTACATCACTAGCAAGACCAGTTTTACCATCTTCTGTATCCACACCAACATCAACATAGCTTAGAAATTTCTTTTCATCCCTCTCACATGTGTTCTTATGGTCATTTCATCAAGCATGAAAACACAATTTTACTGGTTCCTTCTTTTCCTTTTTTGCTACTTGTTGCAATGCAATAAATGTTTTTTGTGTAAAGCCTGGTGACTCATTAATGCTTTGATATCACTTTCAAATGACAGACGAATTCTTAAAGGAAGACAGAAAGTACATCTCACAAAATTGCATTGCCAAGGCAAAAGACAGTAAAATTGAAAGATATGCTTTAAAGAGTCAATGTTTTTTTTCATACTGTTAATAAACAAAGCCCTTTTAAAGATTTTTAAAGAAGTATCAGAGAAGATGCTGTACAGCATATCAAAACCATTAGTTGTTATTAAATGGCTTTTTTTTTCAAAGCTTTCAAAGTCATATTTAATGAGACAATAGTTCATTTTAAACACCAATTCTTTAGTTGTGAAAATGAATTTTTTCTTAGCTGTGTTCAGGTCATCTACTTTGTCCATTTTCACTTATTATTCTTGTAGGACTATTACTCACATGCCAACCATGATCATGAAATACATGTGATCTTTAGCACTTATCTGTTTAGATACTGTACTTGATTTAACTGGATCTGTAACAACTTTGTCAAATGTGCTTGAACCGATGTACCTTCATACTGATATCATGTTTTTGGTTATCTGCTAATAAATCACAACATATAACTCAATCAATAATTTTTAATAGCAGTATATTATTTTTTTCTTCATAAAATGGAGAACCTATTTATTGTTTGAATTACTGTATTTCTTATTAACTATTAACTTCTACAGAAAATGTTATAGTACCACTCAAGAAGAAAATTAGTCTGTTTAGATAGACAGACAGCAATGAACACCACCATTTTGACTTACATATAGCAATAAACCTTAAAAATAGCATTATCACTAGGATAGAACTACTTCACAAATTTCAACTGATTTCACAGAGACATATTTGAATCATATACAGAATAGATTACTAGGAGTATTTAATTTAAAATATACTATTATTTTCTGTTCAGTTTCTTGGCAGTACTATTGGATCATATGTGATACTAATTTATTTTGTTTACTTAGTTTTGTTATAAAACTTATCAAGAAAAAAAGATGTCAACAATTAAAAAACTTTATGTAAGAAATATTTGAATAAATATTACAGCATACTCCTAAAATTTAAAAATAAGATCAACATTTAAAATGCACAATAAATTCTTATTTGGCCAATGGATAAAACTAAAAGACTACAAGTTTCAGTAGCTTTATGCTACCATCATCAAGAGTAAAAACCTATACAAGATTTGAGTAGTTTTAAATCAAAAAAGTATTTTAATTTTCTGTCTGCCAAACAAAATTTTACTGTGCATTTTCAACATTGATCCTATTTTTAATTTCAGAATTTCTTGCACAAGTTGCCATAACTAAACCTTCAGCATACTCTTATATTATAATTATAATAATATACCTTTTCTAGGTGCTCAAAAAAATGAAAAAGAAAATGAACAAAGTATTATGACTCACATGAACATTTTGACCTGTTTTATAAAAAAAAATAGCTTTTTCAAAATGTACAGAGCACAAACTGTTTGCTTTTGTTGGATACCACTTCTCTCACAATATTTATAATCCATATTTTTCAACAGTTCTGGTTGTCTTTATTGAAAACTGTAATAAATTTGAAAATGTATGAAATTGATTGATTTGACAACTACCATATCATAATAAAAACAAAACTACACACCTAAAAATGAAATTTGTGTGTTCAAAACTCAGTTAGGCTCAGTTAAATAATGTTACCATACTTAGGATAGCAAATGAATGTATATTACTTTACTTACAAGTTACACTTACAGTGAAAAAAATAAGTGAACTTACCATGGAATGACAGAGAACCAGCTCTTGATCTATTGTTACAATTCCATACAACACACTGATATTTTCACACTAGATACAAGCTATTAACTAAAACCCTAAACCATAGCAACTGAAAGAATGACAAAGTACCAACAAGATAACCACCTTACAAGTAATAATATCACTTAATATAAAAGTCCAATGCTCAATCCAGTTTAGTATAGTTATCAATGGCCAATACTCAGTCCAGTTTAGTAGAGATCAGTGGTCAATACCCAATCCAGTTTAGTAGAGATCAGTCATTTGAACAGGTTGAAAATTTTCTGTTGGATAATGATAATTTGAGGTTTTTTCAAAATTTATCAAAGGAATATTTTCATTCTACACTTTACAATATAATATATATATATATATACTGTATATATTTCTTTATGAATGTGGGAGTGATTTTGGAAATACAATTTATAAGATTTTTTGTTTTGTATCACATTAGATTTTTGGTTTTATGCCACGTCAGCAATGCCCTGAAACTCTTCCCCCTCCCATTTTTTTCTTCATAGCCATAAAATTTGTCTGTGACATACATGAGTGTGAGGATGGTTTTTAAGACTTTCTTCAGCACATTTTGGAGCTTCTAGTTTTAATTTTATGCTCTTTAATGGGTAAACAACTCTTAGAGAACACCACCTTTCTTCTTATATTAAAGCACTATTGCTTGTCTGTATCATACATGAATTTAAGGATGGCTTAGAACTATTACTATTAGCACAAGTAACTTTTTAATTAAATAATTTTGTTTTCCAACACTTCTTGGAGCTTCTAAGTTTTACCCCCACCCCACCCAATAGGAAAAATTAAAAGTACCTGGACATACAACTGTAAAAGCTCTTGTCTGCTTCTTATAACAAATCTATTTTTGTTTGACTTAAAAATATAAAAGGTATATTCGGTGACGAGGAACCCACTTTGAGACTAATATGCCGTCTCCAGCCATAAAAGGTATATACTTTTAACGATTATTTTGTTTCCCATTTTGCTCTTCATATCCACAATAAATACAGTAACAGGAACTAATTATTACCAATGGCAATACCGTTGTTAACCAAGTTCAGCCTTAGTTACAGGTTGATTATACAGTTGGGCTATAAGTATAATTATAACTTATAGTTATAAGTACAAGTTATAGTCTAGATACATTATATAAATTTTTGAAAAATTAAATTAAACAATAAAGAATTACCAAAATATTCTGCAATTTACTATTAGCAGAATAATATTAACAGGCTTTTATCATGCTTACTTCAAATCTTACCAAATTCTATAACATAGTCCGAAATTGAATATAGGCCTAGTCACTACGACACCGTCAATAGTACTATTGATGCATTCATTTCTGAGTCTCTGAGATTTTTGTGCGGTGTTTCGCATTGACGACATCTATCAGCTTTAATTCTGCATTTTAAAAAACGTGTGTGTGTGCGTGTGTGTATATATATATATATATATATATTATATGTATATATATTCGTCTTGTCTTCTGTTAGAGAATTTTAGAGCAGCACAACTTATAGTATACTAAGTCAAATCTTAGTAGCTAGAACAAATGACTGTGAAGCACCCTCTCAAACGCTTTTTCAAAATCCACAGTATCTCCTTCATCAACTCTTCCACTAATACCATAGCCCTCACCTCTTTTTAGCCCTAATTTAAATCTACAACTACAGCTGAGTTAATAGATCTTACTAACATGTTAGCCCCTGACTTGTTTAAGTGTAAGCCATCCGTTCTAAAAATATTAACTTTCCCATTAAAATTATCCCACAAATCCAACCAGTCTGATTGCTCATCCCTACATATTGATCAAAGCCTGGCATTCAGTCTTAGTAACCTACTTAGTATATCATCCCTACAATTATTCTTGACAGTATCCCCGACAAAATCAAACTATGATCCCTTTTCTTAAATGCCCTTATCAATGTTTTATACCTATCAATAAGCTCCTCAGACCCATCTGTCCTCACATCATTAGCCCCAACATGTACCACAAAAACTGAATTGCTATTATCTATCTGGTTCTATCAGTTATATCCTGTACCCCTGTTCCTGGATAGCATAAGCGTATTATTTTGTTCCTATTTACTCCACATTACTACTCTATCTACATGCCTAGCTAGAGAGTCACCTACAACTATAACTTCCATATCTTTTACACTAATATCCCTTGTGATCCCATTTGTTTTGAGTTTGAATGCATGGATTATATTTCGTATAGTCATATTGATGGAAAGCGGTGAAGGAGGTCAGAGAAGTCATGAGCATTTTAACATTGAAGGGTTTATTTTCCATTGATTGTAGTTTAACTGATGTTGTTGATGTGGTGCATAGATGTGGAGATACCAAGGAAGAAAATCATTGAGAGATGCGGCCCTTTTCAGGGGGCTGGGTCCAATGGGTCTAATGCCTGGGTGAATTCTGATGTGGGTGGAAACCGGAGTACTCGGAGAAAATCCACTTTCGCAGGACAGACACCAAATAATATATCTGTCCTGTGCCCTGGCTGTGAAAGGAAACATGGTAGTTAAAAACAACATGACATAATATAATATTCAAATCTCGGGAAGTGTGGGTGCTTGCTTACGATTTATTCTTCTGTTTGCAAAACAGATTGTACATGATGTGTCTGTTTGAGAGGAGTGCTTTTGATTGTGTGTAATGCAGCGGTAATATTAAATGTTTTAGATAGTGTATCGTTTACTTGGACTATTCTGTTGGCCAGGAAGTTAGATATCTATCTGATTATGGTTTCATTGATATTCAGCTGTTTGAGTTTATATGAATACTCCTATGGTAGTAGTCCAGCGGCAGATTTCGAAAAACGACCATATTTTAGGAGTTTAATCAAGTGGCTGTACACAAAGCAACAATAGGTCTCAAATGAAAGATGAACATCTCTAGAGCATATTTAGCCCTGTTATAGTTACTTTTTCTTGTACGGTCTATGAAATATTCACATTTGAATGATACTCCCTTCTAAAATATTATGGCTGCTTCGAAAAATAACATAATTTGATATAATTACGTCACAATCTTGTTATCAACACATAGTTGGTACCAAAATGTGCAGAATGTAAAGGCCAATGAGACTATATCATATTGTGTTGAACGAAATAAATGTCAAGGCAATAATTGACCACGATACATAAAAAAAAATACATAGCCGTTGAGTATATTGTCATTCGTGATGCAAAGAGCAACGGTGGAATTGTTGGACTGACAAGAAAGGAATAAGTGCTGCTTCGTTTGACCATCACACAACAAAGTCTGGGTGAATATACAGTTGCCGTATGTTCGAGGAGTGGGAACATCCCCAAAGATGATATGATGTTCTGCCTTGATATCTATATTTGGTTCCAATTCAC